GAACACCTCTTGTAATTGTAGAAGTCAAACGTGACTTCTAGTCATCTTTTGTTACCAGTATATATTGAGTATTACAATTTTAACATAGTTTTCCTTTCTTAAAATGTCTATACATTTTTTTGGCACCCTCTGTGTAATAGTATTAGTTTGATAAAATGTGTGTATCAGCTACATAGGATTTGAATGATGCCCTTTTGTTGAGTGAAGATGGAAGTGCCTGTGTTTATGGCAAAGATGAGATGCCAGGATATAAACATGGCTTCCTGTGGTGAGTTAATGTTAGGGTCTGAAATGAAGAGTTTGTGGCTTTCATTTGGTCCACCAGACTTTGCTCCTTCCCATGTTGCTATGGAGATTGTATTAAAAGCATTGACTTCAGTTTCTACCATAGTCTTTAAAGCCCTTTTTTCGGTAACTGAAAACCAAGTACTTGAATCTCAGTAGTTTATCACTGAAAATAAAATCAGTGTTTTTAATGTCATAAACTCTCAAAGGTCTTCATAATAATATTTTTTTAAGTTGTCTAATATATTTAGTTCAGTTTGCATTGCTTGTCATAAAATAATACATTGTATTAGCCAATATCTAAGTCAGTGTGGACATCTGGTATCATTTTAAAAGAACATATTGAATCTTCTTTTAAAATACCAAGTCCCTTACAAGTGTCATACACACCCAAGTGTTAGCGCCCACCTAAATTTAAAACAGTGAAGTAAAAAGAAATTACAGTATTTTTGCATAAACATTAAGTACTCAAACCTTCAAATATCTATAGCCCAGAAATGTGGTTAGTATATTCATGACTTTTGATCCTTATAGGCATCACACATTTTTACTCCCAAAACTTATTGTTCATTTATTAAAATGGAGAACATCAACTTAGTGCATTATTTATTAGTATAGCAACATGTGTCTGCTTTTTCCCACACATGGGTGATTCTCACAAGTTCTGGATGTCCCAGCAGGAAATCGGGCTACCCAGGGTTTGCAGGAGCATTGTCTGAGTTTGCTAGGGATACCCCAACAAAATACCATTAAGCTGGGTGACCGAAACAACAGAAATCTATTGTCTCCCAACTCCGAAAGCTAGGAGTCTGAAATCAAGGTGTTGGCAGGATTGGTTCCTTCTGCAGGCCGTGAGGGAGGGACCTGCTCCAGGCCTCGCCTTGTCTTGCAGACAGCCGTCTCTCCCTTCGTCTCTTCCCATCACCGTCCCTCCATGTACATCTGTCTCTGCGTCAAACTTGCCCCCTTTTATAAGAACACCAGTGCTGTGTGTTAGGCCCCATCCTGATGACCTTATCCTAACCTAAATAAATGCACCTGCAATGATCCTATTTTCAAATAAAGGGACTGTATTAATTTGCTCAGGCACCATAACAAAATACCATAGACTGAGTGGCTTAAACAACAGAATTGCTTTCTCACAGTTCTGAAGTCCAAAATCATGTGCACATGGTCAGGTTATGGTGAGGGCTCTCTTCCTGTTTTGAAGATGGCTGCTTTCTGGCTGCCTCACATGGCAGAGAGCATCTGACCACACACGCACACAAGCTCTGAGCTATCTGTTCATCTAACGGCTCTGATTCCATCATTAGGGCCCCATTCTCATGACCTCATCTAAATCTAATTATCTCCCAAAGGCCTCATCTCCAAATACAATCACATTGGAGGTTAGGGCTTCAATATATGAATGGCGGTGGTGGTGGTGGGGGGGGGCGTTGGGGCTCAGTTCAGCCCATAGCAATCACATTGTGAGGTATTAGGGGCTAGGACTTCAACATATGAACTTAGGGGGGATACAATTCCAGCCATAACAGNGTTTTCCTCCCTGCCGAGGTGAAGGTCATAGGGACAGAGAATGATCGCGTCCTGCCTCTGCAAGAGTTGGCCATGAGGAAACTGCATCATACCTCCCACAGTTTTCTGAAAGGTACATGGGCTTTGCTTTTTTTTTCAGCCTTTTATTCAGTGAATCTAGGAATTGTATATATGCTGCCTATTTTGGTGGTGGTGGTGTGTGTGTGTGGTTTTCTTTAGTGTAAATATACAGAACATAAAATTTACCATTTTTCAATATTCCATTCGGTGGCGTTAAGTACATTCACATTGCTGTGCAGTGGGACTTTTTTTAATAAGAAGAAAAGTTTTCATAATTTATCAACACCGACCCCTTCAGCACCTCCTATAGACAGAGAAGCATTTATTAAAACAGGGTCTTCAGTCACAAAGGACAGAGGTTAAAAGTTAAACTGTGTGGTTTAAATGAAGGAAATTGGTGTTTGGGATTGGATGTTTGGTGGAAGTGAGAAGGCTGGCAGAGGCACTCTCTTCAGTAGGAAAAAATTTGCAAAGATGTTATCCTTAAAGCAAAATTGGGTACCTCTTCCAGCAGAGCCAATTTTTTTTTTGCCTTATAGCCTCCTCCCATCTGAGAAATATATGTACCTAGAGGGGAAGAAATATCAGGAACCTCTCTTCAGTATTACCACAGCATGCCAGCTCTTAGCTTGGAGAGGATTTGACAGTATATAGATTTCATACATCTTATGGAGTGGATATCTGAGATGTTTCAGAAAGCACTAGGCAATATTAGTAAGAAAAACACATTTCAAGTGTTTTTAAAACTGCTAAATGTTTGTCTTTGCTTTGGGGAAAAAAAGGCTCATAAAAAAATATCTAACATTAACCTTCCAGGAATGTCTAGTACAAAGCTGTTTTTTCAAACTAAACAGAAAATTGTAATTATTCCCCTATGAGTCAATTACATTTTCCTGAATAGTTATTGATAAGTCTGGACAGATGTAAATGGTGACCAGATAATTTTTATTTCCTTCCCAGAGATGAGTCAATGACGTTTAGGTTTCATCTCATTAGGACCATTTTTCTGTCCACTGGATGCTTTTATCATCAATAGCAAACCAGTGTGTATGTTTGTGTTCAGGATTGTCTGTGCCGCTGGGGTGTTTTGCTTTAAATGTTTCTGGCATAGCTGGGACAAAGCTGAGAAGGAAGCACCCTATTTTGATTAATGATAGCTCATGGGAGTGAGACAAGGAAAAGCTTGTTTCATTATTTTTCATTTGCTTCAGTTTTTTTGTTGTTCTTTTCATTCTTTTCAGTAAGCATAAGTTAGCTTGATTGATCCTAATGCCTCATAGATTTAGGAAGAACTTAATGAAAGTCCGTTTTAGTCGTCAGTCCCTTTTTTATTCTCTGTCTCTTATAGAAGTTGATAAACCCTCTCCGGGTAAATTCATGTCTCTTTAATCTTTGTTCTTAAAGAATGTTTGGTCTTATTCTTTCCCTGCCTCTACCTCAGGACAGCTTCTGGTTGCTCTTAAAGGGGTATATTTGAGTTTTCTCTTAGTATCAAAAATGTAAAAAAAAATCTTTCATTTCCAAATGTGACATTTTTATTCAGTGCATCTCAGATAACAGAATTTTCAGCATGCAGTACTTTTTAACTAACTGAACTGAGTTGGTAACAAAGAGAACTATCTTAAGAAGACTAGTTTAAGAAAATCTGATTTTTCTTATTTGTGCATGATTTTCTCTTGTGTTCCAGATTTGAACTTCCTGTCTCCAATCTCATTACCCAGAAGTCTCCTGGAGTTGCTGCACTGCCCTCTAGGGCACTGTCACCGGTGTAGTGAGCCCATGTTTACGATTGTCTACCCCAAGCTCTTTCCCTTGAGAGAGACGCCGATGGCTGGACTGCACCAGGGGTAATCATGCCTTAAGTGGGCACCAAGGCTTACACCTGGGTGAGGGGTGGCAGGACAGGGCAGGTGGAGGGCATGCATGAAAGTGTGACATCAGCAGCTTTACAGGGGCACAGAGTCCTTCCTGAGATACAGTTAAATGAAACAAATGCACATTTTCAGCATCCCAGGGAAAGCCACTTCCTTTTATTACTTTCTGGTCATATACAGAACCCTTTTATTATATATATTATATTATTTTGTAGCTCATTCTTTGTAGGAGTGTTTTCCTGCTCCTCCCCTATACACAATAGTCTTTAGGCAATAAGGACTGTAAGAACAAAATATTTCGGGACCAGCCCAGCCCTTCTGTTTAGTTAGTGTTGCTAACTGAGTGTGTGGCTGAGCTGTGTGTGTGTGTGTGTGTGCGCGCACACACACGCGCACTCGCGCGCACGTGTGTGTTTCTGTTTTGAATCTCTAACCCTTCCAAATGGCATTCTCTCGCCAGTCTCTGTTTCTTGGCACAATGCCTTGAACTTGCTAAGAATGTTTACTAAGTAAAAAAAAAACAAAACATACTGGTAGTTCAAAAAAAGAATACCAGACAATTAAAAATAGGACATCAAATGAAAAATCCCCCATTAGCACAACCATAGCTTATAGATTTTCTAAATTTAGGATTCTCTAAGTTTGTATTTTTCAAAGTTAAAAAAAAAAAGTACTGTAATACCTCACTTATCCACCAACTGTGGTATTTTGGGTTAGTAAATTTTCCAGATAAGTTTTTACCTCTATCCGGTGCCAAGAAGCGTTTCCTTTGTAATCATTTTTATAGAATGAGAGCAAGCGTGGGCAGGGTGCTGCACCCCAATGAGCCTCAGAATGGGGCCAGGACAGCCTGCTAGGCCATCCTGAGGCTTAGCAGCTGAGGAGGGCACAAAATGGGTGTTTGACAATGGTACTTACCTTCTCTGTCTCTCTACCCACTCCCGCCCAAAACTGCATTTAACTTTTTCTTACCCTGAATAATCCTATTTGGCTATACTTTCACTTCCTGTTTCAACTTTCTATAGTTTTAATGTTTCCTGGTTTCCTGTCCCTGCCTACGAAAGCCCTCCTCCAAACCTTTCTACTTGCCCCTTCTAATCCAAGGTGATCAGATCATCAAAGTTAGCGGAATTCCATTTAAATTTGGGTTAAAAGGACTAAGTCAGGGTCGGAGTGTAATACTACAGGGAACAGAATTAACAAATGAAACACGCACATCTACGAGAAGCAGCAGTGCATAGCGATCAAGTGCATAGACCCCGATTATGACTCCTCCACTGGGATTCCTTGGGCAAATTACTTAACATCTCTGAGCTTCATCTTTTCATCAGTAAAATGAGCATAATACTAATATCTATTTAATAAGGTCAGCGTGAGGAGTAAAGAGGCCAGGATGGTGTCTGGCATGTAACAAATACTACGTAAATGTTAACTAGTTCCTATTTTTGTAGCTCAGAGACTTCTTAAAATTTCTTTCTTGGGGTATGTTTTAGCAAATGAATTTCATACTTGTAATACCCTAAGAAAAACAACTAATTCATTAAACTATAGTAAAGCCCTGATGCATTGTTATTGCACAATTTCCTATAGAAAACATTTCCTTACTGAAAAAATGAAAATAATCCAAAATGGTCAGAATGCTCTGTTAGTAGCTGATAAAATTCTAAGTACCTATTTAAAAAGATAAACTTTCTTTTTATCAAGGTAATGAATTTGTGAACATTTTTGTGTTACTTTATATGCAATTTGGGGGACGTTATTCAGTATTTGCATATTCCATTTACCGCTACTTAATTTTCTGCTACAACCTAGAAATTCACTATGAATAATCTTATTTCAGAGCATAAATATGGGGGTGCCAAAAAAATGTAAACAATTGGACACTTTGATCAACATTGCTCAAGCAAT